CCAGAAAAAAAAAATTATTTGAAACCAGAAAAGACCTATAATACCAAAGGCAATCCTGGACAACAAAGACAAGGCAGGAGGCATTACAATACCTGAATGCAAATTATACTACAAAGCTATAGTGATAAAATCAGCATGGTATTGGCAAAAAAAAAAAAATAGATCTGAGGATCGATGGAATAAATTAGAAGATAAGGAAGCAAATACAAACACACTCAGCCACCTTATCTTCGACAAAAGTGCCAAACATGCATAATGAAAGAAAGATGGCCTCTTGAACAAATGATACTAGAAAAACTGGCTCACTACATGACAAAAACTAAAACTGGATCAAGGTCTATCACCATGGAATAAAACTAAGATCAAAATGGATTAAAGATCTAAACATTAAAAAAAGAAACACTAAATCTCCTGGAAGAGAAAGTATGAGGAACTCTTGAACATATAGTGGTAGGTAAGTAGTTTATGAAAAAAAATTAAATTGCACTGGTAATAATTGAAAGAATTAACAACTGGGGCAACCTGTTATTGAGAAGTCTTTGAAAGTCAAAAGAAACTACCAACAGAGTAAAAATACAACCCACCAATTTGGAAAAAAGCTAACTAATAAGAACTCAGACAAAGGAAAGGTCTTCTTTTTTTTTTTTTTTTTGGTCGTACCTGGGATTAAACTCAGGACTCTGTACTTTCCAGAGAAGTGCTTATTCTACTGAGTTATCTCCTCAGTCCCTTAGAATTTATAAAGAACTAAAAAACTTTAACCACAAAATTTAAAGAGCCAATCCAGAAATGGGTGTCCTAGATGAACACAAACTTTTCAGAGGAAGAAATTCCAGAATCTAATAAATACATGAAAAAATGTTCCATATCACTAGCCATCCATGAAACACAAATTAAAACAACACTGACATACTATCTCACCCCAGAAAGAATAGCTATCATAAACAACTCAACCAACAACAAATGTTGGATAGGGTGTTTAGGAAAAAAATATCCTTCTACCCTGCTGGTGGGAATGTAGACCGATGCACCATTAATGGAAATCAGAGCGGAGACTCCTTAAAGAAATAGGAATGGAAATGTCACATAATTCAGTTATACCCTACTGGAAATTTTCAAAAAGAACATAAAACATGATAACAGAGAAATATAAGTGCAACTATACTCATAGGAACACAATTTGTGATAGTCAAAACTTGGAAGCAACTAAAATGCTCCTCAAATGAGGAATAGATGAAAAACACTTCTAGTTTTTTGCCTCAATCATCATGCTCCATAGGAGATAAGACACACTCACCACAATCGCTAACACTAAAGAGATCACATTTTAGGCAAGGCTCCCTGGGGCTATGCAGAACTCTTGGCTGGGCTGAAGGTGTCTGGATCCTGGGAATTAATCAGGTTTAACCACAGAGCCAGAAGAATCACTGATAACACATAACAAAGCTCCTTTGCCTCTGCCATCGTGACACTCCTTGGCAGCATTAGCAGCCACCTGCAGATAAAAATGGGGGTAATGGGGAGTTGGTAAGGACTCCGCTGTTTCTGCTCATAGCTTCATGGGCAGCAACTACCCGCCCTCAGCGTACACTGTCCTTGATTGCAGGGAAACCCTGTACCTCTTCAATTCTTTCTCTACTGATTTTGTAATTTTCTCTTTGCTCACCTGCAACTGTTATCAATAACAACCACTGTCTCCTGGAAGAGAAAGTAGGAGGAACTCTTGAAGACATGGGGGTAGGCAAAGAGTTCATGGACAGAAATCAAATCACATGGGTAACAGTTGAAAGAATTAACAAATGGGACCTGCTCTTACTGAGAAGTTTTTTCACATCCAAAGAAATTACCAACAAAATGAAAAGGCAACCTACAACTTTGGAAAAAATCGTGACAAATAAGTACTCAGACAAGAGACTGCACTCTAGAACCTATAAAGAAATAAAAAACAATAGGGCCCCAAAATTTAAAGACCCAATCCAGAAATGGGCATCTGAGATGAACACACACTTCTCAGAGGAAGAAATTAAAGAAGCGAATAAATATATGAAAAAATGCTCCACATCCCTAGCCATTCGTGAAATGCGAATTAAAACCACATTGAGGTATCATCTCACCCCAGAAAGAATGGCTATCATAAAGAAATCACCCAATAACAAATGTTGGAGAGGCTGTGGGGTAAAAGGAACACTTCTCCACTGCTGGTGGGAATGTAGACTGGTGCAACC